TATATATATATATATATATATATATATATATATATATATTGATAGGATTTAGTTGAGTTTAGTTACATTATTAGTCGTTAAAGTGATTTAGTTTAATTATGCCATCAAGTTATCAATTAGGATTAATAGTAAGTTTGAATGTTTGTTTAGGACAAATATAAAGGAATAAACTTGGGGAATCGTTAAGTTTTGTGAAGTTTAAGGTACGGATTCTTAAACCTTTTTCGTTCACTTAGCTCGTTTAAATATGCTTATGAACCAGTGAGTCTCGTTTAACTCATATTTATCCAAATTATTCGTTACTGCGTCTTCCAATCAATTGTATTTGTTCTACATTATGTATATACATACATATATATATATATATATGTGTGTGTGTGTGTGTGTATATATATATATATGTGGCAAGGGAGTCTTGTCCTAATTATGCTATTTGAGTTATTCGAGTTAGTATAAATATGTGTCTTCTCCAAAAGATCACGTTTAATTGTTCGGTAACATTTTGGTATGATTTTCACCTATGGGTGTACATATGTTGGTAGATGTGATAGGTTACATACCCTTCGATTTGATCCTCCTAATTGTTACCACTACTTGTTCATTCAATGTTTTCTTTTATTGCTTATGTTGTTCATTCATTCGATGTCGATATGTTTTGCTCTTACTTTTAATTGGGAATGTATGACGTCACATTCGTTGTGACAACTCAACTATGGGTAACTCGAGCTACTAACCACCTATGGGGGTACCATAGGCACGTCATTGTGGCACCGATGGCGTGACACTAACCGTGACAGTGTGATCAGTCCATGGCGTCTCCTCTTTTGGTGCTCTGTGAGAGCTATTTTAGTGTGATGGATATTCGATTTAGGAGGCGTATGGGTCGGCCCTAGCACATGTGATTCGTTTGTAGGGTGGATGTCGGTGTTGTGTCCAACACCACATCTCACATTCAGTACGTGTGGATCTGCAGTCCAACGTACAGGCCTATGTGGCCTTATGTTTGACACTTGTCCTGTTAGTTAATATGCAAGTGTATGCGTTTTCGAGCTCGATTTGTCCCTTCATATGATTTAGTATGATTATGTTATTCGTTGATTTTTCTAAGATTTTGGTA